CAGTGTGATGCTGTTTAGAGATTGGCCTTTGGAAGGTAATTAGCGTTTAGATGAAGTCTAGAGGATTGACCTCTTGAGACTGAAGAACTTGCTGTGTCCCCTCATGTCCCTAAGGAAAGGCCATTTCGAACACAGTAAGGAGGAAGCTGGGAAGAATTCTTATTAGAACCCCACCTGGTACCCTTTAGTTTCATCCTTTAGAACTGTGGGGATAGATAAATCCTGTTCCCTGACCACCCACCCTGTGGGTTTGTTATGGAGGCATGAGTTGACTAAGACAACCAACCAGAGAGGTCAACTACCTCTTGATACACCTGCTTATTTCCTCTTCTGTTAAGTATCTGTATCTCTGTGTTTCTGTTGACTTTTTGAGTTAGTTTTTGGTTACAGCACTTGGGAGGCAGAGGCAGGCGAATCACTGTGAGTTTGAGGCCAGCCTGGTCTACATAGTGAGTTCCAGGTCAGCCAGGGGTACATAGTGAGATCCTGTCTTAAAACAACAGCAGCAAAAACAGAACAAACAGCAGCAGCAACAACAAAAACCTGCCTAACTTATTCTGAACAGCCAGAAGGTGGAACTAACCTAGGTCTACCGACAAACAGCTACATAAAAATGTCATGTAGTCATGCAGGGAGTTATATTCGGCCATAAAAGAGAGGAAATTCTAATTCATAGTATGACATGGGTGACTGTGCTGTGTAAAATAAACCATCACAAAATGACAAATAGTGCTCGACTCCACTTACCGGCATGCCTAGGGCGGTCACATTCGTAGAGTCACACAGAGAGAGAGGAGTGTGGATTGTTTAGCACAGAATGTTGGTTTTGCAAAGATGAAAAGAGCTTCAGAGACTGATGGGTAGAGGATGCAGAGCAATGTGAAACAACTGTGCAAGTGATTAAAGATGGCAGCGTTCATAGATCCTGTGTTCTGGTGAGCTTTACCCCTACGGGAGAAAAAACAGTAACATGGCAGCAGCTGCTTGTGAAGTAAAAAAAAATCCTTTTTTTAAAAAAAAAGATGTATTTATTTTATTTATATGAGTACACTGTAGCTGTCTTCAGACCCACCAGAAGAGGGTATTGGATTCCACTATAAGTGTTGTGAGCCACCATGTGGTTGCTGGGAATTGAATTCAGGACCTCTGGAAGAGCAGATGGTGCTGTTACCCTCTGAGACATCTCTCCAGCACTTCTAAATCTTTTTGTACACTAAGCATTGAATGAACAGTGTATGTCAGGCGTGAGGCTTCTCAACAAGAGTAAGATTCATGGACTGGAAGGGACTATAATCGGTGTATGCAGGCAGGTTATATAAAATGTTCAGAGTGACAAAGTTCTATTGGTGACATGTGACGAGCGGCCAGTTCTTCCTAGGGTGCCTGGGAACCTATGAGGAAAGCCGATCTGTAACTGGAATCCTGAAATGTAAAAATATTCTCACTACATTTTGCTGGCCGAGGAGGGAGATTTCATCAGTGTCTGGTTCGAGTACTTTCTGGTTCACCCCATCTCTACACTTGATCCTTTGGTGAGGGAGGAGACCCTAGCCAGCCTGGGCCTGGAAAGGTGTCTGGACAATGTCCTGGATGTTAGTCTATTTGTTTATTGTTTCTAAACTAACTAGCAAGTGAAAGAAAGGAATAAAGGCTGGTGTTCTCAGGCTTGTTTGTAGAGAACAACACACATAGGATTGTGAAAAATCAGTTGCTGGGCTGGAGAGAAGGCTCAGCAGTTAAGAGTTTGGTTTTCTTGCAGAGAGAGCTTCCCTGTTTGGTTCCCAGTACCCACCTCTAACTCCAGTGCCTGGGGGAACTGGATGCCCTCTTCTGGTCTCTACAGGTACTACAGACACACACATAGGCACATCTGTACACATAATTAAAAACAAAACTCTTTTTAAACTCGCTTATTCAGATCCAGATTGATTTTTGATGTCCCGTGGGTGTGTGGAAAAGGGGGAAGGGGATGTCTCAGCAGGCCCATGCCAAGGCATCTCTTCCCCCTGAGGGACCAGCCACACACCACCAGTATAGCATAGAATAGAGTTTATTCAGGGCATGGGGAGGGGAGCCAGGAGGGTGGTAGAGACAGAGAGAGAGGGGGAGGTACAGGGGAGAAAGAGACAGAGAAGAGAGAGAGGAGAGAAGTGGAGGCCGGCCATGACCACATGGAGAGAGGGGGAAGAAAATGGGGGAGGGGCAAGGGCACAAAGAGAAGCTAGAGGCAAGAGAGTAAGAGAGAGAGGAGGAGGCAAGCAGCCCCTTTTATAGTGGGCAGGCCTACCTGGCTGTTGCCAGGTAACTGTGGGGAGGAGCATACCTGGGTGTTGGCAGATAACTGTGGAGGTGGAGTTTAGACAGAATACTAACATTCTCCTGTTTTGGTTTAATTAAAAGAGAAAAATTAGAAAGAGGTGACAGCGAAGCAGGCTACTTCCTGCTGGCATTGGGGGTGACGTGTCTTTACGGGGAACCTAGAAGAATGGGTATGGGGAATGTTTGTCCGGTCTCAGGAGAGCTGGCTGTTTCCTGCTGTGCAGGGCCTGGCCAGCCTTCCCTGGGCTAAGGGGTTGGCTTTTCATTGCCCCAGTCCATATGACTGGCATCTAGCTGACCTACGACTTAGGACATTGGCCATTTGAGTGACTCCCCTCCTCAAAAGTAGTTCACAGCCCCCAAAAGCTCTTGGAGCAGCCGGAAATTCTGGTACCAGGTTGAGCTACTTTCTGGCAAGCTCCAGGAGTTCACCACAGCCGAGGCCCCTAGATATTCTTGTGATGACCTGATATCTAGGCTGTTTGCCTGATTTCATTACCGACTTTTCTTTCGAGACATCAATATGAATAGCTCAGTAACAGCCCCCCCCCCCCCCGTCACCCAATGGGCAATACATTGTCTTCGACTGCACCCACAGACACCCCACGGTTTCTGTATTAGGGGTCTCTAGAGTCACAGAATTTATTGAATGAATCTATCTATCTATCTATCTATCTATCTATCTATCTATCAATCTAAAGGGAATTTATTGGAACAATTTACAGGCTGCAAACCATCTAACCTAACAATGGCCAGCTACAAGGAGGAAGTCCAAAAATGTAGTAGTAGCTCAGTCCTACGAGGCTGGGTGTTTCAGCTGGTCTTCTGTATAAGCTGGAATCCTGAAGAAAGTAGGCTCCAATAGATGTTCTGGCAATTAGTGCAAGCAGGTGAAGAAGAAGGAACCCTCTGTCTTCTGTTGTCTTCAAGATCTGGATTAAAGGTGTGTGTCGATCCAGATTAAGATCGTATGTTGTCTTCCTGTTTCAAGATACAGGTCAAAAGTGTGCCCTCCGTTTGTGGATTGTAGTTCATTCCAGATATAGTCAGGTTGGCAACCAAGGACAGCCATCATAGTTTCCGAACTATTTCCAAACTAAACAGCAAGTGAAAAAGTCATAAACCTGGAGTTTTCAGGCCTGTTTATAGAGGACAATGCAAATGAGGTTGTAGAACCCCAGCTGTGGGGCTGGAGAGGTGGTTCAGCTGTTAAGAGCCTGTGGTGTGGTTACAGAGGTCCCAGTTCTAATCTTGGAACCCATGTGTGACTCACAACCTTTTATAACTGGCTACATTTTGTAATGGTTAAAGATATTAAAACAGTTTGTTACATTTATTTATTATTTATTTATTCATTTATTTATGTGTGTATGTTGTTGTTAGGACAGCTCCTGGCTCTCCTGGAACTCACTATGTAAACCAGGCTGGCCATGAACTCACAGAAATTCACCTGCCTCTGTCTCCCAAGTGCTGGAATTAAAGGTGTGTGCCACCATGCCCAGCTGGAGAGACATTTTTTATTGTCCGAACTAGGGATGGGGTCCGAACTACTGGCATCAGATGGGTAGAAGCCAGAGATGGTGTTAAACACCCTACTATGCACTGCACAACCTTCTCTTTCTAAAGAGGAATTATGTAACCTAACATCAATGGTGTCGAAATGTAAAGAACCTTGATACGGGAGCTGGAGAGTTGGCTACACAGTTAAGAGCATTTGTTGCTCTTTTAAAGGACCCAGGTTCAGTTCTCAGCACCCACATGGTGGCTCAAGGCCAACCACTATTCCTGTTCCGGGATATCTGACACCACTTTCCCATGGGTTCGAGGCATGCCTGAGGTTCAAATACATACACATAGGCAAAACAAAGGAATAAATGACAAAAAGAAAAGAGTATGACATAGAACTAGAATCTGAACACCCAAGTGCCTGCTACCTAGTTCTCTCAGAAAGTCAACCTGGCTGTCCACCCCAGTATTCTGCTGGTTTTTTTTTGTTTTTGTTTTTTGTTTTTTGTTTTGGTTTTTCGAGACAGGGTTTCTCTGTGTAGCCCTGGCTGTCCTGGAACTCACTCTGTAGACCAGGCTGGCCTCAAACTCAGAAATCTGTCTGCCTCTGCCTCCCAAGTGCTGGGATTAAAGGCGTGCGCCACCACTGCCCGGCCAGTATTCTGCTGTTATAAGCATTGGGAATTATGATGCCTGACCAGTGTGTACCTCAGTCTCCTTTGCAGCATGACTCTGTGACTGGTTCTCACCAGTGGTACATAATCTAGAACAAAGTGTGCCACTCCCCACTAAGGATTCTCTTTCCCTTTCTGCTGGCAGGGTCGAGATGAGAACTAGGATCTGTGAGAGAGCCAGGGTTGCAACCTGGATCCCTGAGTCACCATAGAGAGAGCTGCCCATCCACTGGATATAATAGGTGGCATCTTAAAAAGTTGTGGTTTTTGTTATTACTCTCTGTGTGTATGTGTAGTGATATGTATATGCATGTGTGCCACACAGCATGCATGTGGAGGTCAGAGGTCAACTTTTGGGAGTTCATTTTCTCCTTCTACTTGGTTGTGGCAGAGTCTCATTTCTTTCACCCTTTCATGTATTCCAGGCTAGCTGGCCCTCAAGCTTACAGGCAGTTCGTCTTTGTCTACCTTCCATCTTGCCTCCAGGAGTGCTGGAACTACAGATGGGTGCTGCTGAATTTGACTTAAAAACAAGCCAGGCAGCGGTGGCACAGCCCTTGGGAGGCAGAAGCAGGCAGATCTCTGAGTTCAAAGTCAGCCTCTCTACAGAGTGAGTTCCAGGATAGTCAGGGCTACACAGAGATACCCTGTCTTAAAAACGAAAACAAATAAACAAACAAAAAACCCAACCACATATTTTATTATTTATTTTATGTGTATGGGTGTTTTGCCTGCTTGTATGCCTGTACACAACATATGTGACTCATCCTTGTGGAGGAAATTGGAGTTTTGTTTGAGTTTATTTTATTCTGGCTTTCTTGCATGCATGTCTGTGCATCACATGCATGCCTGGTGCCCTCAGAGGCCAGAAGAGGGTGTTGGATCCCCTGGAACTAGAGTTGTAAGCTACCGTAGGTGCTAGGAATCAATCACAGATACTGAGATTAGAGGCGTGAGCTTTCATGTTTGGGTCAACAGATACCATAAAAGCTTATCTTAGTGACTAAGTTGCTCCCAGACCTATAAATAAATATGTAGATTCCTTCTGACTTGCCTTGACACAAGGAGCCTTAGAAAGCAGAGAGAACTCTGATTAGGAGAAGCACGCCTTTTAGTCCCAGTACTTAGGAGGCAGAGACAGGCAGATCTCTGACGTCCAGGACAGCCTGGTCTACAGAGTAAGTTCCAGGACAGCCAAGGTTACACGGAGAAACCTGGTCTCTGTCTCAACACTCCCTCCCCCATAAAGAAAAGAAAAAAGGAAAGAAAAAGGAACAGCATGCCAGTTATCCTTGTAACTAAGGTTAGCCTAGGGTCAGTTCCAAGCTTGCCATTGAATCTGAATCACACAGGCTGTCCCTGCTCTGTGTGATCCAGTTCCAGATATATGGCTAAACATTGTTCTGCAGTTGGATCTGCAGTATTTTCTCCAAGACTCATGTGTTAAAGATTTGGTTGCAGCCTGTGGTACCATTGAGAAGTGGGAGAAGATCTCAAGAGATAGGACCAGCAGGCTGTGGTGCTGTAACATCTGTAATATCAATTCCTGGGAAGCTGAGGTAAAAGACTTGCCACAAGTGTGAGGTCAGCCTGGGCTACATAGCGAGACACTGTCTGTAATATGCAGGAAGAGGAGAAGAGGAGGGACTCGTGTGTAAGTTAAGTCATTGGAGTTTGTCCTGATCCTCTCTCTCTTTGCTTCCCAGTGGCTGCGAGCTGAACACCCCTGTTCTGCTCAGTGTTCCCTCCATGATGTACTGCGATGCTACAGGCCCAAAGCAAAGAGCCCAGATGAGACTGTGAGCCAAGACAAGACTTTCCTTTCCTTAGCATATTTACCCCAGTGTGGAAGGCTAGCTCTGGGGCTGCCACTCCTTTGGAACCATGGTGGCGTTGCTGTGGAAGGTGCTGGTGGGCGTCGGTCTCTTCGCCCTCACCCACGCTGCCTTCTCTGCTGCACAGCATCGTTCTCATACTCGACTGACAGAAAAGAGGGATGAGCCACTGCCGACTGATATAGTTCTCCAGACACTTTTGGCCTTTGTACTTACCTGCTATGGCGTGGTTCATGCTGCGGGGGACTTTAGAGACAGGGATGCCACCTCGGAACTAAAGAATATGACATTCGACACCTTAAGGAATCGCCCGTCTTTTTATGTGTTTCACCGTGCTGGCTATGGACTGTTCCAGCGTTCCTATACAACTCATTCTTCAGACCTCAGCGTGTCCTCTTCTGACGTACAATTGAAGTTCTGAAAACTCAAATCACTGCACCATTCAGCTTTTTTACAAATTAACAGGACAGAAGCAGAATTAAGTCCTGGGATTTGGGATGTAAAGCACCCCCTACACATCAATATTTTTACTGATATTTCAGACTTAATTAAAAAAATCTATAATTAAAAACAACAACAACAACAAAAGATATTTATGTCAGGTACCCTGTCACGGCTGTAGAAAGCTGATTAACTGGATTTGTTTTTGGTTGAGGCCAACATACTGCAGGTGGACCTCACCCCATCCGTCCAGGGCTGAATGGAACAAAAAGACCTCAGTAAAGAAGATACACTTTTGCATGCTTGAACTGAGACATCCATCTTTCTCTGGCTCTGTCCCCTAACCCAAAATATGAGCTCTTCTGAGAGTGAGCCTTTGAGAGTGAACTTTCATGCGGGCCTCCTGAGCTCTGCTCACTGACTACAGTCTTGAAGGAACTTGAAGGTTTTCACAATGTGTGGTTTGATTGTTCATTACACTTCTCACCACAGGTTTCTCTCGGGCTCTCGGGCTGATGATCTGGAGGCTGCTGTGAGCTATAAGCTGGGTGAAGAGGCCTAACTGTGAAGAAGAAAAAGGCCAGCATTCCCAGGATAGTGCAATAAGAGGTGGAGAGAGCCTTGCCCCTGCCAGTCTAGCTACTCCTGCGACCAGTTCCACGTGCCACTTGCTGTGATCTGATTATATGCCCACTTCTCTTTTTGCTGTGGTCCATAGGAGATTCTGCCTTTTGCAAATGTACTAAGGTTTGTCAGAGGACAAGAATCAAGGAGGGGAATGTGTTTATATAAAACTGTCCCCTGGTGTCTTCAGAGGATTGACTCTACAACCACACACAGGAACAAAGTCCTTGGATGCTCAAGTAGTTTTTAAAAAATGACATAGTACTTCCATAGACCCTCTTCCCACCCTCCCATATACTGCCAGCCATCTCCAGATTACGTGTAACACCTAATACCATGTGACTTCTCTGTAAACTGTTGCTGTACTGCTTTGTTTAGGGAATAATGATAAGATACTTGCATATGTTCAGTACAGATGGAATTTCCCCCAAATATCTTTGGTTAGCAGTTGGTTGAGTCTGTGTCTGGTTTGTTTACTTGTCCTTATGGTCTACTTTTACAAGAATGTTGTCTCCCTGTGGGGCAGATCATGTTTGTCTTGGTTCCTGTGGTGTTCCTCATTCCTGTCATAGTGCTTGGTGTGTTCTTGCTTGTGATATATTGGAGAGGGGACAGAGGTGTGTGTGTGTGGGGGGGCACAGATACACAGACACACACACCAGGAAGAGAGAGAAAAGGAGACAAACAGATAGACACATAGTCAGACCTGGAACTTGATATATGTAGCAGACTGGCCTTGTACTCACTGAGATCCGCCTGCCTCTGTCTCAAGTACTGGGATTAAAGGCGTGTGCCACCATACTTGGGTTTTTCCATACATATTTATCAAGAAAGGCTCAGTTCACTCTGAACCTAATGTTTCAGGACTCACTGTTGATTGGTCTGAAACTTTCACCACTGTTTCCACTCCTTCCTGTTTGAAATTTCCCAGCCTTGTCTTCCATGATACAGTAAGGGAAGCCCTGTACTGGGTACCTTCCTCCTTTGCCATCACTTCTCTAGAGATTCCCTTCCTCCAGCATGTTGACTACACATGGCCTTTCTGACCTGTCTCTGGCTGTCTTCTCATTCTAAGAGAGCCGTCTTATTTACTTTTCTATTAGATAGTACTTTACTTACTTGTATCTTGTTTCCCTTCCCTGGGATTTTCCTGATCTTCATCCAAAGGGGAACTAAGACCTGTTATCTATATTCCCTGCATCTCCATCTGGGCAATCCTGGCTTTAGTACATGGCTGTATCATTTAACTTCTCATAGACATAACCTGTGTTACTGGCACAGTCCTCATCTCCCCCCTTAGCTGTACAGTCCTTTTCATTACTACCAGTCCTACTTTAGAATGCTCTTCCTGCTGCACAGCACTGTCATAGAACTCTTGCCTTCAGACTTCCAACACCTCCGGACTGTGAATACAAAATTAAGCCCGAATCCTCATCATTGGAGTGCCTTCAGAGCCAAGCTCCTTCCCACTTCTCCAGCTTCTCCATCCCTGTTCCGTGTCTTCAGAACACTTGTAGGTGCACAGTGTACCCAGTGGTGTCAAGCATTTCACTGAATGCCTCTTGCAATAGTTAGTTTTAAAAATCAACTTGCTACGAATTAGAATCACCTGGAGAGAGAATCGCAACTGAATAATGGCCTTTATCGGACTTGGCTGTAGGGGATTGTCCTGACTGTTAATTGATGTGGGGAAGCAGCCCACTATAGGTGGCTCCATTTCCTAGGCAGGGGATCCTGAATGACATAAGGCAGGAAGAGAGTCGAGAGAAAGCCGGCAGCATGGGTATATTTATTTCTCTGCTTCTGACTGTGGGTGTGGAAGACGGTGCCTAACTTCTACTCTTGCAGTGGGTTGTGACTGACATTGTGAGCCAAATAAACCCTTTCTCTCCATGTTTGCTTTTTGTCAGGGTGTTTTCTCACAGCAACAGAAATGAAACTAGAACGCTCTGTATTGGTTTATTAGGACTACCACAGACTGGAAGAAATAGGAATTAATTTTCCTTAACTCCGGAAGCCAGGAGTCAAGACCAAGGAGTTGGCTCAATGCCTTCCTCCAAGGACTCTCTCCTTGGCTTGTGGGTGGATGTCTTCACATAGCCTGCATTTTGAGTATTTTTGTCCTCTTCATAAGGATCCCATCCATACCGATGACGTCATGTTATCATGATTACTTCTTTAATGATACAATCTGGGGAAGGTTTTGGGGATTGGATTTCAACATGTAACTTGTGGGGAACCACTATTTAGCCTGCAATACTCCCCCTCATGACATTACATATATGTGTATGTGTGATGTCGCAGCTCTTTCCTACATCAACTGGAAATCCCGTATCTCATCTAGATCATGTGTTGGGTAAATTCCAAGTATGAATCTTCCTGAGTAAAAGTTTCTCCCCAGCTGTGTACCTGTGAAACTAGGCTACACATTATATGCTTCTGAAATAAATAGGGGGCAAACATGACATAAGCTTCCTAAATCGAAAGGAAAGGGGAACAGAGAAAGGTCACATGTTAGAACCCCTAAACATACAAATTCTGTAGATCTGGATTCAGTCCATAACATTTTCCCCTTAATGAGCCTGGAGAACAACACCTACAATTGAAAACCTAATTGGCTTACCGATTTCATGCTTCATGGTACTCCAACCCATAATCCCCTCCACCATGTGACTGACCCTTCTGTCAGCACAAGGACACTTTCAGAATACACTGCTTGCTCCTCCTTGGGCAGGGCACATATGTATGACCTAGAGTAGACACCTGCAAAGTACTGAGTCCATTAGATAATTTATTTTTCAGTCTGATAACCCAGTTTGTAAGTGCTTAGTGGGTTGAGAGTATATACTGCATGGGTGCTCAAAGGGAAAATTCACATGATGCCAGCACTAGCTTTTGTAACATTCAAAATGGCATGGAGTTTAAAATTCATCTGCTGTTTGTTTCTAGAATCTTTAACTTTTTTTTTTTTGACTGCAGTTAACACTAGGTGACCGAGACTATAGAAAGAAAAAACCTCTACGAAAGGATACTGCTGTATGTTTCCAGAGTGGATATAAGCCAACCCCATGAAAGGGGGGCTCTGCTTTGTACACTGCTGTGTCCATAGTCCCTAAAACTACCTAGAACAGATAGTCCCCCCAATATTTACTGAATCTGTGAGTGACTATAAACAAGCATACACAGCCTAAGCATTTACCACACATGTATAGTCCAGATTCTTGAGTTTTGAGCAGCTTATGAATCTGTGTTGTTGTTGCTTTTTTTTTTTCTCTCTTGATTAAGCTCAAGAGAATGTTAATACTCTCCTCCTGAATGGCAAGATACCAGCTGAACAAGCGTCATATGCCTCTGGGTTCCCCGGATGACTCACAGGAATGCTTTGTTTGGGAGGAGTGGGATGAGACGATGGTTGACAAAAATAACCACGGGTCCTCGAAGACAACATCAAACTCTACTGGTGAAAAGAACATTAGAGGTAACTGTGAATGCTTCACCGAGGCAGAGAAAGATAGCATTTGTTCTAGCATTGTGGGTTAACAGCTGCTCTCATGTTCAGAGAATCAGAGTTAGGATAAATGAAGTAAAATTGCCATTGTTCCTGAACAGTCAGCTGCTCCGTTTAGACGAGAACATTTCTTATAAATGATGAGGGAAACAGATGGGTGGGGTGTGTGGTGAACACCCCAAGGGGGTGATTCCATGCATTTGTCTTTGTCTTTTTATAAAAGGCTTTCCTAGCAGGTGTAGTGGTACAGGACCGTAATTTCAGTGCTCGGAAAGCAGGCTGGAGGAGCATGTGAGGCCAGCCCAGTCTGCATAGTGAGTTCAAGGCCAGCCAGGAGTATGGAGGAAAATACCATCCACCCTCTGCCCAGTGTGCCCACTCAAGGCTTTCCCAGACATATTTTCTCTCATTTGATGACCATGTCTACCAGGACAGAAGGTACACTGGGAAAGAATCTCAGATTTGCCTCCAGCATCATCTGTGTGGTGGAAGACTGCCAGCATCAGCAGTGTCTTGGCAGGAATGTGATGTGCAGATTCTGGGCCCCACCCAGATCTACCTGATCTACCTGGGATGGCCCAGGAGTCTGTTATATGAGACTAGGGGATCCATGCCCATGCTTAACTGTAAAAACCCTTGGACTAGGGCTCACAGGTGGCAGATTACAAACCTTGATCGAGAACCTGAGGATGTCCAACCCTGTCCTTCACTGACAGTCTGGTGTTCAGAGCTGACATTTTCTCACAAGACAATCCATTTTGTTAACTACAGTTTCCTTCACACCCACAAAGCCCAGCATAGTCTGTTATAGCCATATGTCTGGCTGCTCTCCGTGTACCTCTCCTCAGGCCAGAGCTGTCGTCTGTCCCTGGGCGTTTGTATGTGTGTCCTCCACCATTGCTCCTGGCTGGGTACTTCTCACGTTAAGTCTCCTTTGATTCTGGCAGATCTGTTTATCCTCAGCCTGGCATCTATACTTTCTGAAGTCACTTTGTTGACTAGGAAGTAAATGACTGGAGAGCCCAGGTCTGCCTGTCTAACCATTGTTTCCAGAGCTAACCCTGCGGCTTAGCATACAATACATCCTCAGCAGACATTTATTCAATAAATAAACCACGAGCAAGAGGAAGCTTGGTGGAAGGAAAGGATGATTTCTTTTATTCCTGATTCCTGTGCAGTTTAGGCTCTTGGGAGGAAGCAGGATAGGGGTAGGAGTGGGGATGGGTTGGCTGTTTTGCATGCTTTCTGGAAGTGGAATCCTGAAGCCCTTGTTCCATAACTGGCTTATTATTTTTTTAGCACAGTGTCCTCAAGGTTCATCCATGTAGCATCTGACTGCATGTCTTTAGGTTTAAAGTAACTGAGGATATAGAAAGAGAAGCCTGGTAAGGGTACTGCTGTAAGCTCCAAGAATGGAGTGGGTTACCTTGTTTTCAATTCCTGGATAGATATCCAGAACTGAGATTGCTATGGAATGTCTACATCCTTTGTTTGTTGAGACAAGTTTGTGTTGGTGTGTTTCGTTTTTTAGCTATTCTATTGGGTTCATTTATCTACAACCCTTACAGCCCTTATTCTACTCTAATCTTTTCCAACTCCCTAACACTAGGTAGGAGAAAAGGAAGGTCAGAGAGGGAAGGGGAGAAAGGGGGCAGAGACCATTTAGATTACTTCCTGCTGATCAGGGGTGGGGACGTTGGGTTCCTAGGGGCAAGTCCAAGCTTCATCTTTAGGATATCCAGCTTCTTTTTGTCTCGTTGCTCATGGCCACTTGACAAACGACAGCAACAGGAAACAGGAGAAGGAGGGAGGAAAGCAGCTCCTCCAAGAGCCTCCAGCTTCTCTTGGGGGTCTGGCATTTATTCCCTCTGAAAGGTTCCTAGAATTCCAAACAAACTCTGCTGCTGGGTAAAAACATGCCCCTGCTAGTGCACGAGGCAAATCATTGTCATGTGCTATGAAGCAACCTTTTATTTTACAACTGGGATTAAAACAAAAATATATTCATATAACATACCTGGGTTTTGAAGGAACCAAAATTCTCACTATGGATTTTTGTTTGTTTGTTTGTTTGTTTTTTGAGACAGGGTTTCTCTGTGTAGCTCTAGATGTCTTAGAACTTGCTCTGTAGACCAGGCTGGCTTTGAACTCAGAGATGTCTCTGCCTCTGTCCCCCTGCCCCCCTGCCCCTCTGCCCCTCTGCCTCCTGGGATTATAAAGGCATGCACCATCATGGCCCAGCTGCATATCGATTCTTTTTGTTGTTGTTGTTTTGTTTGTTTGTTTTTTTTGTTTTGTTTTTCGAGACAGGGTTTCTCTGTGTAGCCTTGGCTGTCCTGGAACTCACTGTAGACCAGGCTGGCCTCGAACTCAGACATCTGCCTGCTTCTGCCTCCCAAGTGCTGGGACTAAAAGGTGTGTGCCACCACTGCCAGGCCTTGCATATCTATTCTTAATTCAGGAACTCCATAGTGTTTTCCCTAGTGGCTTCATCCCTTCCCAAATATACCAATGATGTTCAAAGGTCCCACACCCTTGTCCTCCTCTTTTTCCTGTGCTGGGGATGGAACTCAGCCACTCATATGCTGAGCTCACTCCCAGTTTCTCTTTCTTTTTTTTTTTTTTTTTTAAAAGATTTATTTATTTATTTTATATGAATACACTGTAGCTGTCTTCAGACACACCAGAAGAGGGCATCAGATCTCATTACAGATGGTTGTGAGCCACCATGAGGTTGCTGGGATTTGAACTCAGGACCTCTGGAAGTGCAGTCAGTGCTCTTAACCACTGAGCCATCTCTCCAGCCCCCCTCTTTCTTTTTTCTTTTATGTTATTGTCTTGTGTGTGTGTGTGTGTGTGTGTATGTGTGTATGTGTGTGTGTGTGTATGTGTGTATGTGTGTGTGTGTGTATGTGTGTGTATGTGTGTGTATGTATGTGTGTGTGTGTATATGTGTGTATGTGTATGTGTGTGTGTGTGTATTGTGTCCTAGTATGTGTGTGCATGTAGGCTGGGGGTTGACAGCGAGGATATTCTTTGATCACTCATCACATTGTTTGCTCAGGCAGGGAACTGAGCTGTTTGGACTGACTAGCTCACCTAACCAGCCTGCTCTGGAATCCCCTGTGGGACTGACTAGCACTGACTAGCTCACCTAACCAGCCTGCTTAGGGATCCCCCATCTTTGTGTCCATGTGCCTTGACTGCAGTGGCCGCCGAGCCTGCCAGCTTTTGTGTGGGCTCTGGGAATTCACACTCCGCTCCTCAGGCTCCCACAGCTCGTGCTTTCTCCATGGCCAGCTCCAATCCTCTTTGCATTTTTAATGACAGCCGTGCAAGTAAGGATGAAGCAGCTTTTCATTGTGGTTTTGACTCATTTCCCTAATG